TTATGGATAAGGTCAACATACAAAACACTCAGTTATCTTTACAGATGTTTGATCCAAAATTAACAAATCGTTGTTCAATATTTAAATATTTTAATTGCAGGCACAAGAAATCAAATGCCTAAAATTAGAGCCTGACAGATACGGTGGTCAGACAATATTATTTGCCAATATTGGCCCATCACAGATTGGTTTGCACTGATGTTGTCCGATATGTTCTAATATAAAAAAAATTTTATTACACAATATAATGTGAAAAATTGTGCTAAAGGTAATTTAGAATTGGTGTCATTGTGTAGTTTGTCCAGCAGAGCAGCTCCAACTGAATTGTTTACACTATCAGCACTGTTTGCAGCACATGTAGCTGAGCAGACACTGGTGCAGAGTCAAGTGGTGTCGTCACGGTAAGTTGCTAACTAATTTGTGAACTACATTTCTCCCAAGTTAAAGTTTTATTTTAATAATGTTTCCTTTTTAACAGGACATAAACATACTGTGTGTATCTATGTAAAAGATTTTTTCACTTCCTGAAGATCGGCATCACATAATTACATTCAGAGCATTTTGTGTGATAAAAATAACACCTCACTGGCCAGAGTCATGACATTGAAATAGCACACACTAAAGCAGAGCACCTTACACATTCCATGCAGTTAAGAAAGCAAAGGATTATTTATGAACATACAATGAGGCTTTTAATGTAACAAATGCCATGCGTCATGCTGACATGCAACAAACAGACATGTTCATTCATGAACACTTTCTCTCCTGGTTGTTAACCAACCTGGGATAATAGCTTGATCCGATGTTACGCTTTAAGTCCAGCGTGGGTTGCTGAGTGAGGGACCTTGCACCCAGAAGGGGAGCAGCTGAAAGTGAGGGAACCGAAAAGAGAACAAAACAGTCAAACAACGGGACCTGCTGTGGGAAAACACATCCAGTCTCTTGACTCCCCTTTGGAGAACTTTATCATCTGTGCACAAGGAGTCTGCAGCTTTTTCCGGACACCACAAGACAGAAACACAGACAAAGGTAATGTTTTTGGAGTTTTTTCCTTTCGGCAGGTGCTTTAGCAGACAAAGAAAGCATTGTAATACAAAGATTTTTAATCAAATGTGCCAGAATCTGGAGTCACAAACCTTGCTGAATTTGACAGCTTATGCTCATATACAACAACTATCTTACACAAGTGCTTCATTTACTTTCAATTACTGTATTTTTCCTTTAGCAGATTTAAATCATAGTGTTTGAAGTTGTTGTTTTCTGGCTGTGTGCAGACTTAACAGTTCTCAAGGGCACAAAGAAGCCTGTATTCAAGACCAAACATTTACTTTCCAGTTAATACTTTAAGCATTAGGGCATTTCAGCACTATAAAAAGTGGGTGTGTTGGGGTTTTTTTGTTTTTGCATAAAGCGGTTATGTTTCAAGCTGTACTAATCAAAAGATCTATTTCTAATGGATTGGATGACTACGTATGATAAAAGAGTCTTGTAGTGATGTCGGCACAGAGAGAATTATCTGTACACTCTGCTGTTATCTTTAGCTCTATGACACATTTTAGTGTTTTTAAGTTTTGTGCTCAGTACCAAATAGCATACAGACAAGTCAGCAAAGAAGTGGTGACATATTTAGCAGCCAAACGGCCACAAGTTTCCCCCTGGAGATAGTGCAAACCCAATAAAAAAGAATTAAATTGTAATAGACAGAAATAGGGATTACATTTGTTAGGTGATTAGATTCCAAAAAAGGGGTTGACCGATTGTCGACCTAATTATAGGATCCTGTTTTCTTTTTTTCCTGATATTGGGATTATTATGTTTTCAAGAAATTTACAATAAAATAAATGCATTTTAAAAATACTTTGGCTCTGATGTAGCCACCTGTTTTTATCTGTAGTCCTTCAACAATTTCCCTGAGGTATCCGACCAAAGCGATCAATGAAGTTCTATCTAATCTAATCAATTGTCCCGCCCACAACACTGACTGACAAGTAATAGCCAATTAACACTTAAGGATAAATGTTAAAGTCTCTTTTAATAAAATATGTAAAACATGAACAAACAGATACTTCAACAAGAGTCATTCAAAATTTTGAAACCAAGGTTTTCATTTTAGCTGCAAATATTCTGTACATCAATTCAACATATTGCTATTCGTCTCCTAAAATAGACATCTGTATCTGCCCTGAATAACCCATATCAGTCGATCTCTACTCTAAATTAATGCTAAACTAGCCCCATCTCCACTGGAGGTCACTATCAGGATGTTAGCAATTACAAACATATTTGGAACTTGTAGTGCTGCCCCCCAGTGGCCAAAGAAAATAAATTTTGCAGGTGTAAGCTGGCACAATGTCCTCACAAATAACAAAACGGTGTGTATATGTGTGCCTTTATAAACTAGTCTGAAATGGCGAATACTGTTACTTCCTCATAATTTGCCACTAAGAGCACAACATGCATTTTGAAAAGGCCGCAAACAACTACAAGCTCCTTTTGTGGACAGCAAACCTGAATGAATCTGAAACGTTCCGTGTGTTATTAGCTCACTGTTTGTCAGATTTTTGTTGTCATTCTCTAAATAAGTTCACTGCAAATTGACACGGGAACATAAAAAGATAAAGTAAACATTATACACCAGCAAGTTTGGGTTAGATTATACAAAATATGTCCTGAAATACATCTCAAGTGCCCCTGTGCTCACATGTGATCTTCAGGGCACTGTCACTTTAACATGGCTGAAGCTAACCGTGATTAGACGTGATTACAAAGCCATTTCAGAAATGACTTTCAGGCATCCCTGTCAGGTTTGGCTTTGTCTATTTTGTTTATTTTTACTGGGCCATGGTGGGTGTATGCTCCCGGTAAACTGGCTATAATAAGGTCAAGCATTTGTGCCTGGTGTGTGTGTGTGTGTGTGAGAGAGAGAGAGAGAGAGAGAGGGAGACTGTGTGTGTGTGTGTGTGTGTGTGTGTGTGTGTGTGTGTGTGTGAGAGAGAGAGAGAGAGAGAGAGAGAGATCCCTTTTGTGTATAGTTTGTTCAAGCGTATGTGTGTGTTTATCCTACAGGGGAGAAAATGAGCACTGGAAGATTTCGCAGTGGTGGGAGAGACAAGTGCAGGTAAGAGCAGCAGCAGTATTCATACAACCCTCGTCTAGTAATGCATGAGTAAAGAGCAGAAAGGAACAAAGAGAGTGATGAATGTGCAAGAAAGCACAAAGTTCAGGTAGAAAAGTCCAGAAAAAGAAGGTGTAACAGTGTTTGGATTGCCTAATCTTTATAAGAAGCTTGCGGCTGCTGATTCTGAGTCGTTGCATGACTGTGTGATGAAATTAAATAGCCTCCTATTCATTATTTCTCACCAGTGAACTTCTTGGTTATCCACTTAACACTTCTTGCTTTGCTAAAGAATGTTCCCCTAAGTCTCTGCATGTGACACATGTTACATCAAGTGGCGGGGAGAAGTGGGACACCAACGATTAGCATTTTCATCTTTATATGTATTTTTTTATTCCCTTTTTAGTCTCTCTTTCTTCATAGTATCCACCAGAGTTATGCAAATACTAAAACATTTTGGACTTTCATGATTTATTGATTGAACTGTTAAGCAACTCACCAGATTATTAAACTAGTTAAAGTTATTATTTATTCATATGACTGTAGAGGTGTTTAAAAAGTCACATTAAATATATCAGATTAATATCCAGTGTTTTTCACATACACGCAGCTCTTCAAACAACAACCTGTGCAATCTTTATGGAATTTAATGTTGAGTTTCAATCAAGCACTAATGCTATAGTTCAAGGTCACTAAACTGTAAAAGCAAGTTAAAGCATAAGAAAGACTTGAGTTAACAATCATCTGACTATTTCTAATGTTTGTTAATTTTACAGAGAGACACATTTTCTAATACTGGCTACTTCATTCTGACATTTCTAAATCTGTAAATATCATCCAACCGCATTTATTGTTTTGAAACCTTTAAACCGTTGACGTATGAAGCTGTACTTGCTGATTGCTTCACGTAATGAGCTCCCAAATCCATTATGTAATTTGTCCAATATGAACTGTGCTGCAACACTTCCGCATAAGAATTATTTAAGGTTTGCTCTGGTGGAAAAAAAAAACCTTTAAATGTATGTGCCACAGCTTATAAAACTGCATTTATCCCCCACCACCACCTCTCTGTGGGTTTACAAAGATAACCTTTCACCTATATGAGGAGAGCCTGGATTGAGGCCAAAAGAAGCTAATGCTATTGTGTGCTGTTGTCCCTCAACTAATGCATGTGTGTAATTCCGGGGTTGCATGCATTGTTCCGTTGCACTCCGCTGATAGAGAGGGCGCTGGTAATAAACCTCTTAGGGATCTGAAGGGTTACCCAAGTCTTGCAACAATACTCGCAATGATGCAGGATCAGCCTCCGGTCCACCTCTTCCACTCTCTGCCACTACATTACGCTCACAGAGAGACTCACACTTTCACATGCCTGCCACCTGCCTGCGATTAAACTCCAAATCTCATTCACTCTCGCCTGCATTCCTGAGTCGACCCCTCCGTTTTGTCAGTCGCGTCTGACCACACAGGACTCGGCGAGAGAGAGAGGACCGCACCGGCACACTTCACCCTGAGTTTGGAGGACTTTAACCAGAAGCTATTTGAAGCACATGCGGAGAGATTTGACTAACAAGGATTCACTTCATATTACTTCCAGCATCGTGGGCAGAGCGAAGGCCTTTCTCATCAAATGGCTGCAACCAGCTGAACCAAAGAAATCTGAGGAGAAATCAAACCAAAGGCTTTTATTTCACTGGCTTCTGTTTGTTTACCCTTGCAGGATTGCATCTTTATTTTTTTTTTTGGTTTGAGTAGTTTTCTGACTGGCAAACTATCCAGACCTTTAGGACATACGGGTAGGAAAGTTGGCAGATCTTTTTGTGAACAAATCTGACCTTTAAAGATGGACCCTTTAACAGACAGCCCTCGCGTGCGCTCAGACAGCATGAGCAGCTCAGCGTCTCAGGGCTCGAGGTCGAAGATGCTCCTTCGCCAGCGGTTGTCCCAGCTGCTCACCTGCGTAGAGGACATGAGCTCTGACGATGAAGCCAGTGAAGAAGTGTCCCGCACGCTGGATGAAGCATTTCAGCTCTGTGGCCGCTTCATTCCCACAGACGCATTCAGGTTGACTTAGTGCACGTGTTAGCTCATTCATGCACAGGTTCACATAGACACCACGCAGGTGTTGTGCATGTTCTAATCAAGCTCGTCTTATACTTAGAGAGAAGAAAAAGACTGCATGATGGAATAGAAGCTAGATTGTTAGCTGAATAACTAACAAAATTTAGCTGCATCAGGTTTCCAATTAACCTAGTTTTTGTTGTTTCATATTGACTGAACAAACTGTTGAATGTTGTATTATAAACTGCAGGTTGAAATGGGAAAATATGAAGATAAAAATGAAAGTAGATATTACATTTGCATGTCAAATTTGTGTGATTTAATAATAAAGAAAATGCAGCATTGCAACTGATAGTCACCAGTGCTTCCTCTTTTTGCCTCACTTTGGTCAACTTGCTGTTTACCAAACACATTTCTACAGGCTGCACATGGTGACCTGGAATGTGGCCACAGCGGAGCCTCCTGAAGACGTCACCTCTTTGCTGCAGCTAGATGTCCAACCTCCCACAGACCTCTATGTGATCGGGTAAGAAGGCCAAGACTGTGATTTATAAACAAAAGTGTATCTTGTATTACTTTTGCAAGAAAAATAGAAGGAAAAGATGTTACACAGGATTGAAACGGCAAGATCAAAGAAGCCAGCCTGTCACTTTTTGTTCTTCATTTGTGTTGGTGTTTATCAGTCTGCAGGAGGTAAATGCCACCCCAGTGAGGTTCATCTCAGACCTGATAGCAGAGGACTCCTGGAGCCATGTCTTCATGGACACACTGGCACCCAGAGGCTTTGTCAAGGTGAGAGAGGAGAGAGGAAGGAAAAGGGGAAACAGTAGTGTGGAATGGTGTCAATAGAAGTGTGTGAATTGTTGTGTTTGTCTTAATAACGAGTATAAATATAACTTAACACTGCATGCACACAATTTAAGATTTAATTTAATTTAGTTGTATTTTTAATGTGTCTTTTATATGTAACTATGCTGTACATATTAATATACAATATACAAATAACATTACATTTTTGGGATTTGAAATTCAATTAATCAAAAATTTATAGGAGAATTAAAAAAGAAAATGTTTTAAAACAAGAGTACAAAAAACACTGTAGTGTAAAAATGATGAATGAATCTCTCACTGTCTCCATCTGTGTCTAGGTCACGTCAGTGAGGATGCAGGGTCTGCTGCTGCTGGTTTTCGCCAAACAAATTCACCTCCCCTACATCAGAAACATCCAGACCACCTACACTCGCACCGGCATCTTTGGCTACTGGGTATGAAGCTAGAACAGGAACGCTGGTTCGCTCTGAACCTTGTAGGCAACTGCACTATTAAACTCTGCACACCAGGAATCCCACTGGCACCAAGTGCTGGAGGGTTCAAACACATTATGAAAGGCTTATTGTGCTTGTTTAGTGGAATGTGCGACAGCTTTGACAGAATGCAATCACCAACAAAGAACAATATGAAATGGTGTGGCACACAGGGGCATTAAAACACTTGCAGACAAATGTTGTTATACATAATCCAGGTTAAGGTTAATCATGTTGTAGAAGTAGGATAGAAAAGTAAGCATGTTTGTTTTAATAGTAATCAATGTATTATATTGGAAAATACAGTAAAAAATACAGTAAAATTAGTCAATATATTTACTTATGATGGCCTGAATCCTTTGTTGTTGTTTTTTTTTTAAAGATTTTGCTGAAATCTTCCTCACAGGCTGCATTCCTCCCCAATTTGTGTGTCTGTTTCAGGGTAATAAAGGAGGAGTGTCAGTGCGTTTTTCCTTCTACGGCCACATGGTGTGCTTCCTCAACTGCCACCTAGCAGCTCACATGAACTACGCACTGGAGCGCGTTGATGAGTTTGAGTACATCCTGGAGGCACAAGACTTTGACCTCTACGACACCCCACAAATCCGCGACCACAAGTCAGTGCACCCACACAGAGACACACAAATGCTGTAAATTTATGCACTGCGGGTTGCTGTGCAGGTAAAATGAGACTCCATTGCTCTCTCACAGGGTGGTGTTCTGGTTTGGTGATCTGAACTTCCGCATCGCAGACCATGGCTTGCACTTTCTCCGCTCGTCCATCAACAGCGGACGCCTTAATTTGCTGTGGAACAAGGACCAGGTATTGTGCCGGAGTGAGCACAGGCACACATGCGTACACGCAATAACGCACACTTCTTAATGCGTGTCATGTTCCTGCAGCTCATCATGATGAAAAAGAAAGAAGCGTTCCTTCAGGAATTTGAGGAAGGACCATTAAATTTTAAACCCACCTACAAGTTTGACCGTAACTCTGACACCTATGACACCAGGTAACGTGTGTTCCTGTGTAAACAAACACATTGCACTCAAATACTCAACATATTTTGCAAACTTTATCTTTTCACCTCTTGTTTCCATTTAAATTTTGCACAGCACTCCAAAGACATGGTTGGGTTTTAAGTAAGACATTTGTTTGTTTTGCATGCCTCATATTCACTTATTTCACAGTCACTGCACGTTCCATCTTACGTCCCAACGCTTTTGCAACCACATCTTTAGTTGAAGCAAAATGAGATGCTAAACAGAAATCCACAGTGGCCACAGAATTAAACCCTGCTGCTTAAATAAAGTTGGGAGCAGCTCTTTCTTTGAGTCGTGTCCTTTCCTGACACTAGCAGCATGTATGTGTCTCTCTCAGAAAGAGCACTGTGACGCTGCCCCTAACCATGTACAGACCCAGACCCCTGCAGCGCTGCAGCACCAACCTCCTCTTCCTCCTCACCTCACTCACCTGGGGGCTGCTCTCTGTCTGGTTGGGGGCCTGGTACAGGGAGCTAGACCCACCAAGGTGGGTGTCTTCAGAAGTCAGAGAGGGTCCCAGATTTATAGAATTGGTACCTTAAGGGTTATTTACTTCACACCTACTCACCTATTTACGTCACCTGCAATTGCAAAGTGTGGAAACACTGACATAAATGACAAGACACTAATAGGTTTAGTGAGCACAGTAAATTCGATGAATTGCAGACATGATCTGCAAATTCATTACACCTCCTTCTGCATCCAGCACCCCACTGTGTGTTGCTGCATAGTGCGTGTGTTGCTTTTTACAGTGAATCAGCGTACACATATGCTGAAACACCATGTCAAATGGTATTGTACACTCGTAGTATCCACCATTTGCTGCATGCTGCACTGTAGGCACAGCTCCTCATTGCATGTGTGTATGTCCGGCTTGTGTTTTTAACAGCACCTGTTTTCAGTGTTTTTACATAAGCATTGTAAGTTGGGTTTACTTGGATAGACATAAATGGAAATGTGGCATATCAGGTAAGCAGAAGAAGCAGAATTTTCAGTCAATATCAAATGGAAATTGTGTTATCGGTGCTTGTTTTTGCTTTTCTCAGTGGCAAGAAAAGGAAGCCGGCCTGGACAGATCGAATCCTCTGGCGGATCAAACCCAAAACTCTGCCATCAGAGGAGGATGAAGAAGAAGAGAAGGCATCCACTTCCACAGATGATAGAGAAGATGAGTTTCCAATCCTGGTCACTCAGGACAAGTACACCTCCGATATGAGCTATGGAGTCAGTGACCACAAGCCTGTCATTGCAACCTTCAGCCTGGATGTGAGAGCAGATGCACTGTAGGACACTAAGATTCATATGGGTCTGCTCTTTGCCTACTGATACAACCATCTCTTTCTCTGTGTCTTTCCTGCAGCTGAGGAAATGTTTTGACACACCACTGGTGCACGTATCTCCTGTGGGTGTGTGGAGTGCCGACCAAGATGCACTTTTGACCTACACCGTCCAAGAAGACTTCATGTCTTCCACATGGGACTGGATTGGCCTTTACAAGGTACTGGGATCGATGTAAAAAAAAAAAAAAAAGTCAATAGGTGGAACAACATAACACTAGATGGATTTGAACTGATGGGATTGTTGACCTGCAGGTGGGATTTAAGAGTGCGGCTGACTACGAAACCTTTGTTTGGGTCAGAGAGAATGACCTGCCAGAGACAAATGAAGTCATACAGGTAAAGTGCAAGTGAAGCTTTTCTGTCGTGTTTTGACAAATGCTAAACACATGCTTCATTCATATATTTGTTTGTGTGTTTTGGTTGCAGAGATCTGTGGATAAGGATGAGATCCCTCTGCTGGGTGGACAGTATGTTTTGGGTTACTACAGTACAAACATGCAAAGCATCACTGGCCTCAGTGCTAGTTTCCAGGTGAGTGTAGCATGATACCATATGTAGGTATACTTTACTATGTGTCATCACCTTATTATCTTTTGTTTACTCAGAAGAGGGTTTTGTCATTTATGCCCTATGGTACTTCAGTCTGTTCCCATTAACGTCCACTGTTGAGATTTGCCAGAAATAGAAGACAGAGTTTAAGTAACCCTGAAATCTATGATGGTAAAATGCTTGAAGCGCTGATTCTAGGAGTGACTGTTAAGAAAATAAACAACAAATGCAACAAATAAAAAATATGACTACATTTGGATATAATACACAAAACAATCATTATATTGGCATATTGAACCATAGGTTACTATAATTTACCTGTAAACCCTCTTCTGCACAGAAATACAACTGTTCTTCCATTAAATATTTTTTTTAAATATACGCAACAATAACAAAATGCTCAGTACAACAGTGGTTGACACAATCAGCAATAAATAAGAATAATATTGACATAACTTTACAAATGACGAACAATGCATAAGTTCAGGCTGAGTGACAAAATACAAAGCAAAGTACAAATGGGAAATCCATAATTACTCATGAAGAATACATGAAAACATTAAAGCCACTGTGAAATAATTAAAAAAAACACAAAAACTTAGATATAGAAGCCATATCTTGATGAACTGAAGAGTGAAGCAGACAGGCCAAGTATTCAAAACGAAAACACTTCATGGTTATTTTATGCCAGCTTGCTTTATCATTTACTCGTGACATAAAAATACTCTTCATTTTGCAGCATATGCAAGGTTTTTAACAGTCGGAGAGAAACAGCGCAATTGCACTGCGACAACCCCAGGAATAAAGATGCAGAATTCATGTGAAAACCACACCAAATTTTTTATCTCTTTTAAAAAAAAATCTTGCAAAATATTGATTTAACATGCTTAGATTGTAGGACAGGACCTGACATAATGAGCTGTTGCAGTAAAACACACCGAAAAAATGTACTAGCTCATAGCTCTGGTGTGAATTCTATCCTTTTAAATGTGTACAACAGTACATACTTGCAGTGGAAATGTGCATGTGCTGTCTTTTCCATCACAGCTTTGTTTTGTTCACAGATCCTGGAGTCCAAACGTGCTGTCATGGAAGGCCTTGTTCCCGAGGATATCAATGGGCTCAACAAATAAGAACAAAATAAATTCAGCGCCACATTTGATTCCTCTCTGCTGCAATTTGATTCAGACTTCGAATGCCTCAAGATTAATTCTATCATCTACAGGACAAGATGATTCAGTTACTAAATAATGGCCACCACTCTGTGCCAACAGATGGACTGGAAACTTTAATTTGTTATTTCTTTCTTTGCCTTTAAGGTTCAGATTCACTTACAAAAAAAAAAAAAAAAAAAAAAAAAAGAATCACTTTAATGAGTAGCCTGCCTGCCTATCTACAGGCCTTTTTAGTCTGTTAGAGCAAAAATACAGGAATAAATATGCCAAACTACACAGCTGCTTTAAAACAGCAACTGTGTTGGAGTGATTTTTTTTTTGTTTTTTGGTAGTCGACATGCATTGCGGGTCAATACAGTATAGTGTTTGGAGAAATAATATTTAAATACATTTCTATGTTTTGGTTCGGTCTACATCAGTGCCAGTGCAGGTTATATGATAAATGGACATGCCAATCATAGGACACAGGAAAATTTTGTGTTGATGCAGGTTGTTTTATTTTATGTATGCTGTCTTAATGAAAAAAAGATGCATCTGATAATTGAGTTTTTAAATGATTTCTGTGGGATATTTGCACCAACTATTGGACCCAGGCATCTTGGATGCTGATGTGGACTTCGGCACCAAGTTGTTTTGATTCACACAGTGCTTTGCAACAAATACGTGTAATGTACATGCAGTACTGTAAGTCTAACGTGTATTGTGACAGACTCTGAGGCAGTCAACAGAATCGTGATTATATGTTGATTTTATGTAGATTCTAAGATTTGAATTATTTATCTGTCTTGTTCTTAACTGTAGTTCTTCAAAGCTAGTGAAATACAAGATGTCTTTTCATTCCAAATAAAAAAAAAAAGAAAATTGCTTTTCCCAAATAGTGTTCTCTAAAATGACCAGCAGATGTCCTTAAGAGTCACCAAATCATTGTTGAGCATTTCTAGATAGAAAGCCTACAACATGTTGAAGCTGATGAACACTTTTTATAACTATTTTATATCCTTGGCTGTGTTTATCACTTCTAAGAAATTACAGTATAGTGTGTAAATCCATCTGCCAAAGCAACAGTATTGATCATTATCATATTGATTTGCAGTCAGCAGGGTTTATAGGCTCTTCATTTTACCATCAACAGCAAAACAATCACTTAATAGAATGTACACATTAGTAGCCTTTATGCTCACTTCTAAAAAGATTCATGTAATATTCTACTGTACATTACAATATACAATAGTTACCAAATTGTGACTAATTTAATTTGTTAAATTCCCTGACCTGGGCTGTACGGTGGAGCAGTGGTTAGCACCGTTGCCTCGCAGCAAGAAGGTCGCCAGTTTGCATCC